TACCCCCTCCGTGCCCGGGGCGGCCGAGCCCCGAGGGCCAGCGCCTGCCCCACACGCTTGGGGGGCTGCAGCCCCTGCGGGTCCCACTGCCCTGCTGGGAACAGGGATGGGCAGAGCCGTCCGGCCCCAGGGATGGTGTCGTGAGGGGACTCTGGGGTCCCAGCGTGGCCTGTGCCCCCTCATTGTGTCACATTTGCGGGACACAAGCCAGGCCCTGGTCGTGGCATGGTGGCAGCTCCATGGGGACGGGGCACTGGGGACACTGAAGTGCAGGGTGGCAGCGGGGGCTGTGTCCCCTGCATGGTGACCCAAGATGAAGCACACGTGCATGTAGAGAGCTCATGCCCTGGCAGTGTCCCCCAAGCGCATGTCCCCAGATGCCATGTCCCCTGGCCATAGGTACTGCCCTGAGGGACAGGTCCCCAGCAGAGTGTCCCCTGGAGAGTCACATCCCCTGGCCAAGGCTGGAGGGATGTGTCCCCTGGGAGAACCTGTCCCCAGCCTGCTTGTGTCCCCCAGAGGGACATGTTCCCTGCAGGGACATGTCCCCAAAGGGCATGTCCCCTGGCCATGCATGTCCCCAGAGGGCTGTGTCACCAGGCTGTGTATGGCTCTGACCATATGTGTCCCCTGGCCATGTGTGTCCCCAGCCCCCTGCGTCCCCGTGGGGCTGTGCCCCATAGCAAGCGCCGTGTCCTGGTGCCGGGTTGTTTGTGCTGCCTGGGCAGGGACGCGCTCACGTTCCTGGAAACCGCCTGGGGGGCTGCGATAAGTCCCCGCCGCCCGGCCCTGATAAGCAGCAGCTCCTGCTATCGGCTCCTGTCCTGGCACGGGGCGCCCCGGAGCTGCTGTCACCCCACGGTGACAGGGACAGTGTCGCCCGCGTTGCCCCCAGCCTGGCCAGGCCCTGGCAGGAAGCAGGGTCAGACCCTGATGCCACCCTGTCCCCAGCCATGGGGACACCAGCACGTGGGGTCTGCAAGGCACTGTCCCCTCTGGTCTTGGGTCCCTTGCCATCTCCCCGAAGGGCCTGTGGCCCTCTTTAAGTGGTGGCACTGTCATCTCAACACTCAGAACAGGGAGATGGGCAAAGCAGCTCCAAACCCTGCCACGCTGGGGCCAATGGCACCATCATGGGTGAGACCAGTGGGGCCACAGAGCCATCAGAGCCACCCTGAAGGGGAGCCTCATGGGGCCATCAGTGCCAACCTGGGGCCTCTCCCTGAAGGGCCTGTGGCCCTAAGTGGTGGCACCATCATCCCAACACTCAGAACAGGGAGACGGGCAAAGCAGCCCCAAACCCTGCCATGCTGGGGCCAATGGCACCATCATGGGTGAGACCAGTGGGGCCACAGAGCCATCAGAGCCACCCTGGAGGGGAGCCTCATGGGGCCATCAGTGCCAACCTGGGGCCACTGCTGCCACCCCAGAGCCATTGGTGCCACCCTGGGATGAGCCCCACAAGGCCACTAGTGCCACCAAAGGGGGAGCCCATGAGGCCATCGTGGGGTAAACCCTGGTGGACCCTCAGGGCCACCTGAGCAAGCCCCATAGGGCAACTGGAGACACCGCAGGGCCATTGCGGGGAAAACGCATGGGGCAACTGGTACCACTTTGGAACGAGTCCCCTGGGGCC